AGTTCCCTGGTTGGGGATTGATCTTATGCTGCAAATAGCTTCATAGTGCTGAGACTTAACCTCTTGTGCCAGTAGAGAGACCTCTTATTAGAATTTTTATTTTCTTTGCAATAATATTTTACATTATAAACCCTGCAAAGTTTTTAATTTTTGCAGTATCCCATTTCTAGAACAGAAAATAAAAATCATTAAGTTTCTTTGCCCTCTTATGCATGTTTATGTAAAAGAAATAACTGCTAATATTTTAGGCTGAGGTTTTTGTCTCTGATTTTATTTTTAGATTAATTTAAATATATTAAATTCATGCTGGATTAATCTTTTTAATCCTTGTTATTTTATGCAATTCTAAGAATAAACAACTTAGTTCTTTCATTTGAAGTGGAAAAAAGCAAAACTGTAGTGCGTGACACAGTGCTATATATTTTCTTACAGAGAGAAACTGCATGAAGCCAATAATGAATTGCAGAAGAAGAGAGCTATTATTGAAGACCTTGAACCAAGATTTAACAACAGCTGTGAGTTATTCTAATTAGCATATTTCTAAATTGGTTATCATAGTGATAATGAATTTAAATTAAATTGGCTATTTTAGAAATAGGCCCTGTTACATATTCTAACAATAAAAGAATTTGCCTTTTTTCAGGAAATGTATATACTCATCTTTACAATATTTTTTAGTCTTTGGTTATAGTTGTTTTTCCCCTCAACTATGAATTTGAATGATACTTTTATGTTTTCATAAGGTGGTTGCATGTAAGTCACCAGCTGAAATAGCCTATATGGTATTTATACATATAAGTAACTTGAATTCAGTTTTTTGTTGTTGAGTGTAGAACAAGGCACAGACTTTTACTTTTTTGTAGTGTTTTGTTGTAAAATATTCTTAACATAAAAATGACCACTTTCATTTCATTCAGTTTATTATTTTGTTGGATAAAAATTTTTGAAGTTGCTCTAATTTTCAAAATACTTTTTTTTTTTTTTGCTGTTTCATCTGCAGCCTTAAAAATTGAAGAATTACAAGAAGCTTTACGGAAGAAAGAAGAGGAGATGAAACAAATGGAAGAGCGATATAAAAAATATTTAGAGAAAGCCAAAAGCGTAAGTATGAATTTGTGGGCAACTCAATCTACTTTCTGATCATGTTTCACTGGTCAGCTATAGTGTGTATCCAGTGACTTCTCATGCAGTGAGTTACCAGTAGAATAACTAGCAAGAGGAAAATGAGACCTCTCTCTTGATTCCTAGGATAATGAGATTATTGAAACAAGTTAATGAATACCTTTAGGAAATCATCAGGTAAATCCAGAATTTGAGATAAAAGTCACTGTTAATGGAAAACAAAAACTGGCAGTGAAGCATGGAGGAGCACAAAAGTCTGTTCAAATGTAAAGAACCCAAAGGGACCAAAGTTCTGTATTTAGGCAAAAGAGGAGATTATAGACATTTTAGAGACACCTATAGAAATGTAGACTTGAACTAAGTAGTGGTGATTTAAGAATTGTTAGTTTTCTTGTACATGATGATATTGCCATTTTATGTGACCTTAGTATAAGGAGATGTATGTTGAAATAGTTAAATGTTATTATCATGAGGATTGCTGATTATTAAAATAGTCCATTGTGTGTGTGTAAAACTCAAATGTAGCAGTGGAGCAATTAGTGAATCTGGATTAAAGGAGATAGGTTTTTTATTTTATATTCAAGTTTCCTATAGATTTCATCCCCCCTTTTTTTTTTTTAAGATTTATTTATGCATACAGAACTGTGGTACAGGTCAAAGGTGCAGGGGCGGTGAGAGGATTCACCAGAGAGCAAGGAGCAGAACAGGCAGATTGACGAAGTACACTGCTGAGGAGAGCAGTGGGAGAGGCAGGGGGGTTTTGCTGCACCATGTGGGTCACCTCCCTGGCCAAGGATCGCACTCGTGTTGAAGCTGCTGGGCCTAGCTTTGTAGTGCTGCTCTTTGACTTGTTGGGCCACCAGGCAGGACTCGATTTCATCCTTTTTAAAGTAAAAGTACTGGTACCAAAAAACCCTTCCCAGAAGACCTCTAGTCGGCCAAAGAGAATTGCATTTCATCTCATGCCTCCACCAAGCCCTGGGCAGAGGGAGAGATGGGTCACAATGATAGACTTGTAAGCCATCTGGACCTCTAAGTAACTCAGGCAAAGTGCTCATTGAACTGAATCCATAAAAAGGAAAGGAAAGTTGCTGTCAATGATATGATTTACTAATACTAATCCATAACTACTTCTAGAATAAATTCTTCCACATTTTACATAGCTAAAAGTTGCAGCAATTAGATGTGATTTCATATATTCTAAATTTAAATTATCCTTTTAAGAATTGCGGCCATAAGTGGTGCATTCTTTAACTTTGAAATTTTTTTTATTTTTCAATTATTACTTGTTGCAGGTTATCCGTACTTTAGATCCTAAACAGAATCAAGGAGCAGCACCAGAAATACAAGCTCTTAAAAATCAACTGCAGGAACGAGATCGGCTCTTCCATTCATTAGAGGTGGTTGTCTGTTCTATATGGTGTTTGATTTTTGATTCTTTCTTTCCTAGGAAATTTGCTATAAAAAATTGTACCTATGAATTTATATAGTTATTTATGATTGTTTTATAGATATTGTTTTTCATCTTTACATGTGCTTGGTTTTTAGAAAGAATATGAGAAAACGAAGAGTCAAAGAGAAATGGAGGAGAAATATATTGTTAGTGCCTGGTACAATATGGTAAGAAAATAACACTTCAAAAGCTGTTTCAAAGTGCAATGAATATGTAATATTGTACTCCTTTCACTGTAGAAATAATTCCATTCCACCAAATGAATCTGAAAGTAATTGTTATTCTAACTCATACTAACAAAATCTTAATGCTAACTTTACAACTGAAAAGCAGACATAAGAATTGCCATAAAGAGGGTTGGGTCACTTTGAACTCATTATTCTAGCGATTGGAACAATAAATGATATTTTGATTTCTTTTCATTGGAACCACTTTATTACAGCGGAAAGGGACTGCAGGAATACATAAACTCAAATGAGTATTTTTATTGTGTGGGACTATTCCAGTGCCTTTTGGGGATAGGTATTTATAATGAGGAAAATTTAATTTTTTCGTTTAAAGAATGTTCATGATATTAGATCCTGGACCACTGATGATTCTGAAATGAAATTTTCCAACAACAACAAAAACCTTAAAAGTATTACAGGGGAAAATAAATTATCAACTTTCTAGACTTCATTAAGGTTTTCTATCTGTGAAAAGCAGTGGATCTGGAAGAATGTTATAATTGGGGTTTTTTTGGTATTTTTCCCCTAGATTTTCTTGTATTTTTCTTCTTTATTGTTGTTCTTAGTAAGACTACTTGTGCCTTCTCAGTGTTAGTTACCTGAGACAGGAAATTGGAATAGATTTCTTGTATCATCCCCTCTTCACCCTATAGTTGTATTATTGGCACACTATCAATATGTTATAATTGATACTTTGTGAAAATTCATACGGTTTCATACATGGACCTTTAGGTCAAGGGACACATATATGATGGTGGTCTCATGTGCTGTGTGATTTTTTTTTTTTTTGCTGTGTAGTGTGCATACTGGCTGGGTTTTTGTAAGATATTTTGTGACATTCACACAAAAACATTACCCACTGATGCATTTCTCAGAACATATCCCTGTTATTAAGCAATTCATGACTGTATTTTTCTTGATTAAAGTTACATATTTAAGATTTTATGTAACAAAAAAGAGGAAATCATGTTTGATTGAGAATACTGTTACTGGTAACAACTGGAGGTTTCTTGAATATGGAAACTTTAAAAGTAGAGAAAAAATATATAATTTAAGGGTGTTCTTTAGAAACTAATCCTGATTCCTCCTTTTTGTTCCATTTTTGTCTTCCTTAAAGATTAGTGTTAACAACCTTGGTGCTATTTCCCTCAATCCTTAATTAATAATTTCATATTCTTGACTGATTTTTATGACTTTGCATACTGTGTTTCTTAGGGAGCCAAATATATTTATTCTGGGATATGGGATAAAAGAGATGTCCTACTTTTCAGCGCCAAATAACTCTGTTCTGGAATTTGTCATTGGGAATATGGAGAAATGTTACATATTTGACTGATCAGATAAAATGAAATTCTATTAAAATGCCAAGTTATGACCAGTATTTTTCCTAAAGGTGACTCCAGTGATAAGACTCTAGTGTGTCTTATGCCAGCTTGTCTGTTTGCTCTGGGGAAGCCACTTCTCTTTTCTCACGGCGTGGCTTATCTGCCTGGCTCCTTTTTGCTCCACTTGCTCATTTCTTCCTTGTTGCCAGCATCTGCTTCCTCCCATCAGTTTATTTGTACCTAATCATACTCAGTGTTTCTCTGCCTCTGTTATTCACTGATTTATTGAATCAGTCCCAGAACCACTTTTTCCTGATCTACTTTTAGACTGTCCTTGTTTCAGTCTCTCCCCCAGCCCAGGTTTCTTCCCTTCAGTTAAGGTGTGCCGGGCCCTACAACTGAGGGTCCTCTCACCTCTAAGTTAGTAGGCCATCCTTCTCCAGTCTTCAAGAAAGACCTCTTGCCCTCATTGGGCCCTCTGTTGTGGGATGTCAGGAAGTTTTCTCAATTTGTTTTGAGAATGCAAGTCTGCCCGAAGTGAAGATAACAGCATGGTGGTATGTATTGTGTGGAGTGTGGCTTTCCACCTTAAGAAACAAGTGCTTTTGTGTTTTTCCATTGCAAATAAATGCCTTGAATCAACTGCTACCAATCAATGCACTTTTTTCTTGGAGAATCACTACACTTGATTGAACGGGAAGTGTGTAATGTATGCTGAAATCTATTTTTGGTTATTGTAAATTCAAAAAATTTAATTTTTCCAAAGGCAGATTTGGAATTGTTGAAACTAAAATGTCAAGATTTTAATCTGTAATGAGCAGTATTAACATTCTAAATTGTGCCTTATAGTGCAATATAACAAATTCTGCATGATGAAATTTTCTTTTATGAGAATGTTCCACTATTTTTTTATTGATTACTTTTTCTTTTCTGTTCTAGGGAATGACTCTGCACAAAAAGGCAGCTGAAGATAGGCTTGCTAGCACAGGTTCAGGGCAGTCATTTCTGGCTAGGCAAAGGCAGGCAACCAGCACAAGAAGATCTTACCCGGGCCATGTCCAGCCAGCCACAGCAAGGTAGACAAGTCTTGCCATTAGAACAAACCCCCCTGCATTCAAAGCATACTTCTGTTACATATAACATTTCAGGAAATTCAGCCAGCTTATATTTTGTCTCTATGTTAATCTTCAGTTGTTTCTCCTTTGAGGACTTTTTCTCTCCCTTATCTATAATGTTTTCATTCTTGGTCCTTTATTTTGTAGTCTTTTCAGTTCCTTTTAATGTGCCAAAATTTTTAAATGCCCAGTTAAAAGTGTTGTATAATAGTGTAGTACTTTTCTTTGTATGAAAATGTCCTTTCCCCAATGGTGTAGGCTTTGTAATGAATTAGATTTTCTGCCAACAATTGGTATACGATTTATATTCTTTATTGTGCCTCTGTGTTATCATGCTTTATAAGAATGTCTTTGTTTAAAGGAAATTAATCTTTTTATGATATATTAATCTGTGTTTTCAATTGTTTTCCAAATGCACTTCAAATAACTTGCATATTTACTATATAAAATGGTTGGCAAGTATACTTTTTGCAAAGACAAATACATTGGCAGAGGTGCTAATCAAATCTTACCTAAGGCACCTGGTAGAATTACTTAGAGGGAAAAATGAATTTTCACGTTGTTTTATAGGAAATTAAATTTGTCTGAATATTTGGATATTTTTTTAACAACATCAATACATAGAATTTCATTACTTCCTACTAGTTTGCTGGTAGAAGTGAATGCGATGGTTATTTGGGGGGGGGGGGAATTACAGAAGGAAAAAAATGAGGCAGTGCATTAATTTTGTATTGTTTTGCAATATCAGAGTGATTGATCAAATTTTAGTAATGTGGCTGATATTTCTAACTTCAGTTGCCGGTCATATGAAAGATTCATTTTCCTACTTAACAAGTAACAGTCTTCTTACCTTTTGGTAAACTACCTTCTTCACTTGCATCTCACAAGTTTTACTTTTTCTTTATATAAACCCTTCTATTTTCCAGTAATTCCTAATACTTAACATCCTAATACTAGTCTTTAAAATCAATAAGCGACTTCTTATATGTGATGTTCTAACATATGTCTTTTACATTTTTTCCCTAATTCTCTATACTAGTCGAAGAATTTGCTACTGAATAGAATCGCTTGGGTATTTGGTTGCCTCAAACTGCTTAGATTTGTCAACAGATTGTTTGTTTATGTTAATGAATGACTGTCAAATGAAATAATAATCATACAGCACTTTGACTATATTAGGTGCTATATAAATGCAGAATATCATTCATTGGAAAATGAAATGCCTCTGCCTAACTTTCTATATTGACCAAACATATGGTTTCAAATTATATTTAAAAATCCCTCCACCTTTTTTTTTTACACCTGAAGTAGAAATCACTAAAGTAGGAATTACTAAAATTAAAGGTCAGTTTTTTTGTTTGTTTTTGTTTTTACATAGGTCACTTAAAATGAGAATTGGAGAAACTATATTGAAATATTTTAGTTCTACTTCCCTTTTTATAAGAACACTTACCTAAAAATTAGTAAAGTTTCCATTTGTCCTCAGAAACCATACTGAAGAATGGTAGTAGAGCATACATAAATGACTCTGCATTGCACTAATTTTTTACATTATGTACAGAGAAGTCTGAGTACAGGAAGAATTAGTAGTGATGGAGAAAACCATGTGAGTAGAATGTATTGTGGGGTTTTAGAGGCTAAGCAGACTGAATCCAACATAGAAAGTTTTGACAATGAAGATTAAAAACTAAGATAGTTACTACTCCCACATCCTTATTTCACAAATAGCATAAGGATTTAACTATTTTAAAACAAAGCATGAACACTAACTTTGGTAATGTAAAATTGTTGGGAAATTATACCCACAGAATAAAGTAGATGAAACTAAGCATTTAAGGGTTTATAAACCACTCATTTAATAGATTATAGCCCGTGAGATGAGTGGTTTTAAGTTTAGTTTTCTGGTTACTACTCCAGTTCTGGTCTCCTACCCATTCATCTACTTAGACATCTAAGCAGGTTGAAAAGGCACCAGGCTTTTCAAAGGTTTACTTCTGATTTTTCTTTTGCATCTGTTGCATGCCCTTATTTTAGTGTTTATATTCATAATTTCCATTCTCTTTTCTTATACATTTAAGTTTAACATACTATTTTCATTACAGATAAAACTGTATTTCTAAACACTATGATTTTTTTTTTAACCAGTTATAAAACTTAGCTGTAACAATGACAACTGTTTCCCTTGCCCACATTTGGACAGGATTTATGAAATTTCATTTCTCCAGTAATGATTAATAATTTCTCAGGTTTATGATGATCTTTTATGATATCTGGAAATTAAGAGGCATTGGGCACTTTAGATGTGACCGATACTGTGCTGTATTTTCATAAATTCCTTGTACACAGTAGCTTCATAAAGCCACAGTTCTCTTAACAGTGGAGCTAATCCTGACATCAGCAGTGGAGTAAGTACAGTGTTAAATTAGAGTTAGGTTGGATAGCTATCACCCCACTGTCTGCACTCTTACAAACAAAAAAGCTAGCTGTCTGTTTTCCGTTTAACCAGGGTAAGAAAATACAAAGTTAACAGCTAAAAAATATTAAAGCATAACATTTATGTTCTGCAGTGTATATTTAAGAAGTTTTTAAATGAGGATAAAAGACAGCAAATATAGCAGTTCACCATAACTAAAACAAGAATTGTATCTTAACAGAGCATTCAAAACCTTGATCATATCTTTTTATCAGTTCTCTACCTGATAAAAATTAAGAAGTCCCTAAGTAAAGGATCCACGATCCAAAATTGATCTACACTGAAATATTTCTATTAGATAACCATAGTCTGATAAAAAATTGGTTTAATGGGTTTTTAGATTATAATAAGGATAATATTGTGCTCTCATTTTGTTGAGGTTTTATTATTTTATTTATATAATAAAAATTCTGTAGTGCGGAATTAGGTTGAATAAAACTCACAGAAATAGCAGCCTGTGTATTTCATTAGTCCCTACAAAAAGCATGAAAAATTAGTGATGCACAAATAGCAGTAACTGACAAAGAGGAGTTAGTTGAGAAGAGGCACTGCATTTTATTTATGAGCTATTTTACTCACATCTCCTTTTCAGTACCAGTTTTGTTTATTCTAATTAACTAATATAATATTACATACTCTTTTGTGCCTCTTGTTCTCAGAGCAGCTTTCAGTCCTTTAAAGATACCACCATGTTTAAAACTTGAAAATATCCCAAATAAAAGGTATCTTGATAATTTTTAAGTTTTCCTCACTCTGTGCATTTAATCTCTGATTGTCCAGATCTCAGGCTCCAGGAATATTATAATTATCCCTATTTGGAACACTGTGAGATGTATCTGAGAAAACATCCAGAACCCACAGTTAGAGTAAAACCTGGTTGGTTTACAGCCACATGAATGAGAACTTTGCTCCTAAAGTGAGATGAATGTGCTTGGCATCTTGCTTTTGTTAAGGGCAAAATAACAGCATTAGAAATAAAATTGTTCCTGTTGCCTATATTTGGAAAAATATTTTGACTTTCCATCTTTATGTTATGAAGGAACTCTGCCTAGAAGAGACTGTCAATTGATGTAGCATTGTACTTAACAGTGAAGCCCCAGGGATATCCTGAAGTAGCATAAAAGAGTATAGGGTGCAAAATAAAATGGAATATCAGAATATTCAAAAAGTTATTTTAGCATATCTTTTATTTTTCCCTTTTTATGAGTTAAAAGGGGTTCCATTCAGTAAAGAAAATATTCTTTCCTGTAGACCAGCTGCAGAATGGCAGTTTATTTTGGTAATTGCACAACCCAGTTGCATTACATTTAGGAAGCATTTCAGAGTTTATTCTTTGTAACTATAATGATTAAAATATTTTATATCATCAACTTTTTATATAAGGAAAACTATTCTCAATGTCTGTGTCATCCAGTATTTTACTTTCTATAAAGCATATTTAAATAATTGGTATATGTTCCTTTATTGAAATTTGGAGGTATTTTTTGCCTAGTTTCGGCTCAGTAATTTCTAAGCTTTGTAATAAATACCATTCTGGTCTTAGAAACCTAAAAATAAGCAAATAACTAGCTGCTAATACAGCTAATCTACCTTTCCCAACCCCCCAAAATTCTGAAAGTATTAATATTTAATTTATTAAATGAAGGACCGCAAAATGTGATAACATCCTTACCTGTGTTCTTAGGAAATATTCACTGATTATTTTGTTTTCAGAAGCCTTTTATTAAATCCAATTCACATGTATTATCATCATGAATATTGGAACTTAAAAAATGTATGTTTATATATATATATATCTTGAAACACGAGTACACTTAGGTTCTTTGAATTGCATTGAAAATGATAGAGAAGGGACTTTAGTTTATTTGAGAACAGGACAAGTATATGTGTTTTTGCAATTTTGAGGGGCTTCCTGGTAATTACGTATCAACAATTATGTGTTGTCTCATTTCACAATTTTTTGTATTTTTTATTTTCTCCAGTAGTATTTTATGTTGCTGGTTAGATTTGTATGCCATATAGAGCATAGAAATCTGGGAAAGTAGCAGAAGCCTATTAAAGCAAATCCATTCCTGGAGGGTGGGATGGATTATCAGGATAAGAAATGACCTAATTATAAATAAATACTCAGACAGAACTATTACTACAATTCATACTTTGTCTATCTTAACAAGTGTTCCTAAAGTAATGGATTAAACAAAATTTTGTCTGTTACATGATCATTCAGTACAAACAGCAAACAAACACATAATTTAGTTTTAATTGTCCTGCCCTTCAGTGGGCGTTAACTAGGCAAACAGTATTAGTTTTCTAGAGTTACCACTTTATCTACTTTAAAAACCATTAGCCCAGTTTTATGTTCCCCTTGATTACACATAGTAGCCCAACACAAAATTTTGCTTAAAATGGAAGACTTAAAAAAATAATTCAAAAAAAGCCTTTACGTACCTGATATATTACTGCCAGACTCTGATTTAAACACTTAGCATCTGAAGATGAACTCATCAGAGCAGGTGTCCTTAGCTTCAAAATTTTAGGTTCACAGGGCTAACATATCAAATTACATATTTACTCAGAGCTTAAAGGGCGAAATAAATATGATGAGAAGAGCAATCAAAATGAGATGCAAAAAAACTACTATAGTGTGCTGAGGCTTTAATATATGGGGAGACTTCTAAGCAGGCATTATAACTTCAGAGATCTCTGAATTGATAAAGTAAAATAGTTTAGTAATTATATTGTAAAATTAATAAAAGGGACTTGTTTATTCTTAGTGTATTTGTCAACCTACTGGCAGTGATTACATACATTCTAGTGTGTTTTATGTTACTATTAGAAAGAATATATTAGTATTATTTACTATTGTTTCTGATCACTATACATTATTTATACTTTACTGAAGATTCACAGCACTTTACTAATATTATTTCCCCTCAACCTTTTTGTCGTATTTCTTACTAATATCGGTTCCATTAGCATTCTTTCCTTATTTTGAAGCACTCCTTAAAAAACATAAAATACCACCAAAATGAATGAACTTTGTATCCTTTTTGAAGTTTTTTAAAGTAAGAGCTTAAGTGTTAGACACTGGGTTGGGGCTACTAGACAATATTTACAGTTTGTATTTCACATTAATAAAACTCTTATTAATATTTGTGAAGCCAAGTTCTCTCAAATGCAAACACTTGAGAAATTCATTTGCTTGAGTTGCATTCATAAAAACTGAACAACCTTTTAATCAGAGGTTCTTAGCTTTTGTTTGCCTGTCTCCTAAAATACAAACTTACGACCTGTCCTTAATCGTTTCTTCATCGTTGCATATACCCAAAGGCAGGAGAAAGAAGACCAAGTTCTAGTAGCTATTAAGTCCAGTGGTTAGACAAATCACAGGGATTCACTGATGGGAAATACATAGTAAAAATGGCAGAATACTATAGAAATAGTCTTAGTTCTACTATAAAAGATATGCTCTAAGAATTTGACCATTTTCTCAAGTTCAAATATAGCTAAGTTTTCATCTTATTCTATTGAGAAGTATTTTTAGGAGTCAAGACTTAACATTTGTAACTTGAATGTGTTAGTATTCAAATCATAACCAAAAGTACTGAAATGCTTTTTGTTACATAACCTTGACACACATGGTTGCTGCCAGAAAGTAGGGAGATTTTCTCTAAGAACATTTTCCTGGAGTTTTATTTTGTTTTTAGATCAGAAAGGTGCTTTTATGCTGTGAAAAGTTTTACACCAAGTGTTGAAATAGAGAAGTCTAGACTCTGACCTTTGAGGGAAGAGTTGTTTTAGTCCTTCCAGGTTTAAAGAGAATAGATTCTAGATCTGAATTGTCCAATTCAGTAGCTCCTGGCCAATGGAAATTTAAATAAAATTCCAGATTCATTTTCCTGGTCACCTTAACTACGTTTTAAGTTCTCAGTAGTCAACAGGGAGGTAGTGGTTACCACATTGGACAGCACAGAAACAGAACATTATAGTCATCACAGAAAGTGCTTTTGACACTGCTGTAGTGACAGAGGAGAAAGTAAAGGCATTTGACTAATATGAAATTCTTAGGTCTTAACACCATGGTTGAAGAAAGCTGTTTTTCCTTAAAGACCTTGGAAAATTCAAACCCTATTCTTTGAACTTAATTTTCACTGTATTTTTAAAAGTAGGTTTTTGTTTTATAAATCATAACTTAATATCTTTGGTTTTTTCCCTTTTATGTAGTCTTTTTAAAATTGAGAATACACAATTGTTTAAAGTTTATCAAACAAGCTAACGAATGTAAAATTTATTTGAAATGAAAATTTATAAAAACATTCTATTACTTTAAAATTAAATAATAAAGTTTGCCAATTTTATTCATGTCCATTTAAAAATTTCTCCATAAAATTTCATTTGATTATCTTCTACCTGAAAGTACATCAAGATCCAAATAATGTATTTGGTTTTCTTCTCTATTCTGCTCTTAATAATAACTTGGCTTCTATATCAAGTTTCATGTATGAAGCAGTTTATTATAGTGATTTAGTTAATAAAACATTTTTTAATGTTTATTAATTTACATGGTCTCTTACTAAAGTACTTAACTAAAATGATCTACACCTGAGAATCTTTGGATTTTTTAATGAAAATAAGGCACTAATCATAATTCTTTGCATTAGCTTGGTACTTGGTAAAAATACCCTTTTTGGAAGTCATGCTGCTGTCCTCTTCCTCTTTAAACTTTTTAAATCAAACAAACTTGACCCAGCAGTTTCAAATTCCAAACAAACTATGATGATTATTTTTATTATTTTCTTGGTGCCCTGATTTAATATGTGATCGACAAGAATCCCATTACTTAAGGGAAATGTTCACTATCCTTGAAGTAAGAAAATAGCATTTTGGTATAAATGCAGAAAATGATGGAACACAAATGCCAATCAGTGATTTGGGGCCTTTTAACTTTTTTTAATAGCCTTAGTTATTTAAAATTCAGATGCACTAAAATGTCATTGCTGTCACTAACTTTGCTGTTTGCAGGGTATATATAATTCAAAATGCTTTATCCTCAGAAGAGTAATTTCTAGTTTGATGCAATTTTCATGTTTTGACAATTGCCCCACCCAGTTTTTAGGTTGTGTAATAAATAGCAAAATCTAAGCATGTTTAATAATTTAATGGTTTGCCTTATTTTGACTAATTCCATTAAAGATTTGGGGATTGAAAGAGGCTTTTTTTTTTCCTATGGTATTTTTTGAAACTTTTCAGATGAGCTGGAAAACACCTTAGTACATTGGAGTTGGAGTTGTATTGATTATACAGTCCCAGCTCTAAAGCCTTATACTCATGTCTTAAGTATTATTGATTGTTCTGTGAATTGTCAGTTCATATCTGACTTTGTAGTTATCCACCTTCATTTTAACCTTTGCAAAAAGGATATTGCTAGGTATGTTCTTATTTCTGGTTGTCTATTGAATTTATAGTTTTAAAGTTTTATTTTTTGTCATTATAATATGTAAATGAATCCACTTAAGACTAAATTTCTCACTTTACAAATGAATCAATACAAATTTAGCAACATTGTACATAATGGCATACATAAAGCATTATTCCACCTGTTTACTGAGTTTACCAACCAACTGCGGTATGTGTTAGATTGATGACTTTTCTCATTGTTTTTCTGAGGTGAGTTTCTTATTAGCACCTCAGTAAGAAATTTTCACCAAAATCATAAAAACATAGTCCAAGGAACCACCAGAAGACAGATTTTTAATTGTTTTGAAATCTTGTATTTCCTTTTGATATCACTAATTCATTTTATGACTGCCAACTTGTTGTGGTATTATATGTATTTGTTTATATGTATGCATATAATATATGTATATGTATATGAGGAATAAAATTAAGATTTGGTCAAACTATATTTTCCCATTCAAGTACAAAAATGTTTTCAAGGCTGCAAAAAGTGTACAGTTGTTAAACAAGTTGTAAATAAAAACTTGTATAAAATTCAACTTAGATTTTTTTTCCTGTTTTTAAGATTGTTATGAACATGTGCTTAGTAATTGTCTAATAGTATTTGTTCACATTCCTCTGGCATTTTCTGTCCTGTCCTATTAACAGGAATGATTTGCCACTGATTATTGTAAATCAGTAATATTATTTGAGTTTTCTTTGGAGAATTTATCTAGATTTTGTTTTTATTTAGGCTGGTACTTAATGTTTTTACATTGATTGTCCAGGGTTCTTGGGGATAAAATTCAAATATGACTTCTTTCCTCTTAACAGTTATGCTGCAGATCAATCTTATATGGATAGTACAGCAGAACCAATGGCATTTATTTTCCTGAACAATATAAAGTATTCATGCATCCTATTTAGACCTTGAAAGTTCCTTTTCCTGCCTAGACTCTTAACAATTTACTCTTTCCCCCGCCTTACCCTAAACGTTATTGAAATATGTCACTTTGGTAGTATATAAAGGGTAGTAGCAGTGTGGAAATTAATTATATTAATCAACTTGGTAATTCCAAAGTAAAGCTAGCAAAATAAAAAACTAGTATGCACACAACCAAAATAGTACCCATTTAAAAAAGCATTTAATGTAACATTTTAATGATAGAGAGGTAAGTTAAGTCCTCCCTCACTAGCATGGAGACAGCCATATTTAAGTTTAGCATTAATTGAATTGCACAGGCATTTCATAGTCAACAAAGGAGAAGGGAATCAAATGTTTCTGCCTTAAAGTTTTTGTGTTATCCAATGGGGCACACACTAATAAATTCCAGAGTACCCAGATGGTCTGCTTTGAGTACTCGTTTATGTTACTGTTATGGTTATTGCAGCATCACAAACCACTCCAGAATGAAATGACTTCAAACAGCAGTATTTTACCTCTCACAGGTCTGGAGACAGACTCTGCTGCTATCACTCAGGGTTCCTCATTTGACTGCAGTGACACCATGGCCCAGACTAGAGTGTCCTCAAGGTTGTTTTCTCTCAAGTCTGTACCCAGACCAATGTGATAGAACACCTGAGAACTGATCAGCTTCTTTCCAGATAACATGCTGACATGAGTTACTTGAGTCATCTCACCAACTGGAATCTTAGGGCAGATGGTCTTACATGTGGCTAGCTTCCTCAGGCACAGTTCCACAAGACACAAGTGAAAGCTTGAACACTTCTCAGAAACTACACAGTGTCATTTCTCCTTTATTTGCTAAATTAAATTTGACAAAGTTAGGTTTTAGGGCTGACCAACACTCTTCAGTGGAATTGCCAAGTGACCACAGCTGCCATTGTTATGGATTCAAAAAAATGAAGATTACTGCAGTGAAGATCATACTTTAAAGTCAAGATATCTCATTTCCTAATCCCTGTTCGATGCACAACCATCAGGTACGTAACTTCGGTGAAAAAGAACCCTGAGATAAATCACACAGCACACCATACATTTGAAGCCACAAATACTTGCACCTCCTTAATAGGTATCTAGTTGTGAATAAATTACTATAAAATGTTTATAATTCAAGGATTGTAATACAATTATAATATAGGATTATAAAACAATCCTATTCTGGAATTGTATTTTAAGGATTGCCAAATACAACACTAAGTGTAATGAAAACGGTTCATGTTGCCAAAGACCCCTGTTGTAAAAGTTGCTTACTCCGAAAGAACACATTCCCAACCCCTTCACTGTGACTTCCCCTCTACTAAATCATTCCCATTAACATACAGATAGGCTGATAAAATTCATGTCTCCAAAGTGTATTTATTAGTGCATCGGTTTTAATTTTTAAACCATTTTTTTTTACTGTTAAAAACGAACTTACGTCTCAGCGATCGTAAATAATACATAAACATTGGGGATTATATAATTTTTTGATATAATGGTTTCATGACCTTCAGATACCAGAAGTAGAACTGCTGGACTGTATGGAATTTATACTTTTTGATTTTTTTTTTAAAAAAGATTATGCTTACAGAACTGGGGTATAGGCTAGAGGTTGTAGTGGGTGAGAGGATTCACGAGAGACAGAGTGGGGAGCACAGTGGACAGATTGACAAGGTACACTGCTGAGGGTAGCAGTGGGTGGGTCAGGAGAGGTCTGCCAAGCCATGTTGGTCAGCTACCTGGCCGGCATCTATCTGGCATTGCTGGGGCCTCAGAGAGCTTCATAATGCGGTGCTTTAACCCGTTGTGCCACCAGGGAGAGCCCTCTACTTTTTGATTTTTAAAGAAAGGTTCAGTCCCCTTTTGAAAATGACTGCACTAATTTAATATTCCATAAACTACTTTCTTAAGTGTACGATTTCATCATTCTTAAGCTTGTGATGAATCCATCAAAAAGATCAAATACACATCTGTCACCCCAAAAAGCTTTTTCTTGAATTCTTTGCAATTCTTGTGCACCCTCTCATCTCCTCTTTTCCCATTACCATTTCTAGAGAACCACTCCCCTACAGATGGGCAAGTAAATGATTTTTAGGAAATATGGAAAGGCCCTGAGAGGAATGGGTGAGGGATAAGTTTGATTAAAATTGTGGGGTCCACTTCTCTCAAAATTTCCGGGGATTGTATTTATGATGAATGAGTTCCTTTTGGAAGGAACCTTAGACAAGTGCCGACACTTCAGTATACTATAGCTGCAATTGTAGGGTGGCATAGTCAGCGACACTTGCCTACAATATTAATCCCACGACTGCATACTCCATAGCCCTGAGCAAGTTTGACATGTTATCAATAAACATTTGTTAAATGTTTACCGTTCACAATAAACACATGCTACATAATTGGAACTTTAATCAGAGAAAACAACCCAGAATTCCTTTAAGTCTGCGCTTTAAACTCAGCATCCATTCCAAAAAAGGGGGAAAATGTACAACATAAGGCTCTTAAAAGGTTAGTTTAGTCTGGTAGTTAGCGCCCTGAAGATGGCCAGAGGAAGAAGGGGTTGGGCCTTGAGTTGTAGGTCAGCTGCCCCCGGTACACAGGAGGTGCCAACTTCCCTACTAAGGCGATCTTGTAACACTGCGATCTTGTGAGCAAGCTGGACCCCTGGTAAGATTGGGTTGCACTAGCCAGTGAAGGAGCGTTTACGCAGCGTGCGTAGTTCAGGACGCAGCCTGGGTCTCTCTGGCCCGCGACTCTATGGTAGGAAAGCGAGAAAACCGGAAGCGGGTGGCTACTGGGGGCAGGGAGCGAGGGGCGTGGCGCTGGAGGGGCGGGGCCTCCGCTGCGGACCTGGGCGAGATGGCGGCTACCGAGGGGGTCGGGGAGGCTGCAGCGCAGGGCAGCGAGGCTGGTCAGCCGGAGTCGCCGCCGCCCCAGCCGCACCCACCGCCGTCCCAGCAGCTTCAGGAAGAAGAGATGGCCGAGGCCGGAGAGGTGGCGTCCCCAATGGACGACGGATTTCTGAGTCTGGACTCGCCCACCTATGTCCTGTACAGGTAACGCCCACAGCAGGGCCGCCCCGCTGAGGCCCCTCACCCCAAAGCTGGAGCTCCCGCGGGACGGCGGCCGGCGACCCGCGTCTCGGGCCTCAGCAGGTCTGGCAGAAGTTTCTGCGGCCTCGCTAGCCCGGCCGACTGCTGGGTCGGGCCCCCTCGGTGCCCTCGCGTTGCTGTAGAGTTGCTGCTTCCCGGAACCGGTGCTGTCACCGAGAGGCAGAAATGAGGTTGGACCCCAAGCAGCTTAGGAACTACCGAGCCCCGGGCAGCGCTGTTTCTTGGGCTGTTCAGTTGATTCAGGAGATCTCCCGCTCTCTCCCATGCTTCCACTGTGCTAGCCTGCTAATAAATCCCACGGCATACCAGACGTATAGGTGGAGTTTTGATAGCCTTGGCAGGAAGTAATTATTTAAATAAAGTCCAGATTTGAGCAATTTTTTAAATCAAATTTTATTGCTATACTCTTCGTTAATTTGCACACTTTCAAAAGGAAGTATAAGGACCTTTCACAGTTTGTTCTGCTGAAATGGAGAGAGCTAGTAGAAGATCTTTAAGGACTGGGACATTTTAAATTAATATGTTAATGCCTTAGCATCTATCAGGCACCTCTTGCAAGGATGAAACAGTATTTGCTCCTTAAACTCTCTTACACATCCTATCTTCTGGTACGTAAATACATGTGATAGATGTTGCTGTAACTTTCTTGACTTTTCTCCTTTCACTTTGTCCCATCCCCTCAGTTCTTCACTTTCTGATAGTAATTCTGATTCTCAGCCGAATCAGAACTTGCAGAGACTGTTGAGAAGTTCTATGTCCTGTTCTAGTCTTCTAAAGGCTTATTTGCCTTCTGTGAATGAGTGAAAATCACTATCTAGATTTTGTCCTGTTCTAGCCTTCTAAAGGCTATTTGCCTTCTGTGAATGAGTGAAAATCACTATCTAGATTTTGTTACTGGATAAAGGTTTACAGATTTAAATTGGTTGTGATGGCCTGTGAACCCTCAAACCTCCTTCCTGAGTTGTAAGATAACTCAGATTTTTCGCTTAACTATGTCTGATTTCCCCATGACTACATGACAGCCTTACCTTTTTCATGCTACTACCCCCGTTCTAGGTCTCAAATTTCAGCTAATTGTTTTCCCCTTTCTCCTATATAGTGTACACAATTTCAAGATTGTCTGAATACCAAAGAATCTCTGCTGTGAATACTGGTCAGAATAGAAAACTAAAGAGTGAGAGGGAAAATCTTTAAGTAAATGAGTAATTAAAATAAATCTGATCTCACCGGGCAATTCATAACAAAATGTTTTTAGAAGGCCATTGTAATATTATTTTAGCATTGATATTAATTGGTATCATTGAATGCTTCCTATATGAATTTATTATATGTTGTATAATACATATAAATACATATTTAAGCATAATACTATGTTTACTAAATGCTATTATATATGTATTAGTATATAAGTAGTGTATTTACTATATCTTATATGCTTACACTTAGGTACTTATGTACAATTTAAGTGCTTAACATGTTATTTCATTTAATCCTTTGAACAGTCTTTTAAGATTGGTTGGTAACACTATCATCTCCATTTTACAAATGAAGAAATTGAGGTCCAGAGAGGTTCACTAACTCTCAAGGTCACCCAGTAAGTGGTAGAGCCAGTATTCCAACTCAGACAGTTGTCATAGTCCAGATCCAGGTGGATCACCATTCAATATATAGCAAATTAATAATATTAGCTTTGGTTTTAAAGTGTTATTTCTTAATAAGTTTTTATTTAAAACTCTTTAATGCTAACTGGCTCCAGACTTATTATTATTACACCAGTAAACTGATGATTTCTAATTGATTTTAATTTATTAACTAATTTAACTGGAAGATTATTCATTTAATCTTTAAAAGTTTAATATGTAGAACAAAATGGTAAAACTTGATCATGAAAATACAGATATGTTTACATACAGATATTAATAAGTGACTAGTATTAGTCTAATTATTGTCATTTTAAAAAATACCAGAGTTCTTTTTTTCTTATGTATTTGAATAGGATTACTGAATCATTCATACACATATGTATATCAATATGTGTGTGTGTGTATATACATTTATATTTTTCGCCCCCAGGGATAGAGCAGAATGGGCTGATATAGATCCAGTGCCGCAGAATGATGGCCCAAATCCAGTGGTCCAGATCATTTATAGTGAAAAATGTAAGTTAATTTTTATTCAGCAAAGGTCTGTAAGTCAAATTTAGTAGTAGAGTTGAAATTCACAACTGTGAGGCAAGATGGATAACAGATTTTTGTCTAGTAAAGATCTGAATGACTTAAAATAAGTGAATTTTTTTTGTGATTTATTTTCATGGTTGAAAGTTTTCTTTGTTCAAAGAATGGATATATTCTAAGTATGAGTAATGAGTGTTACATTATAATACACAACAGATACTATTTGATTTAGTTAATTTACATGTTAAATGCAATATCAGTGAGTTAATGTTATTTAAAATATATTTTGGTATTTTGGTTAATGAAAAATGAACATTTTGAAATGTATTTTGGCAGTGGTGTTAGGATCAGTTGGAATACATTTACTGACACTAAAATGAATGGATTCTTTTCTTTGACAAAGTATCATTCTTTCATAATGAATGTGAAAATGCTTTGTAAATTGAAGGTCATGCAAATGTTAATTGTTAGTTGTTCTTCTAGGAAAGAATAAAAGAATAAAGTGGAATGTTTGTGTTATAGCTCTGTGTGTGTGCGTGCACGCATGTGTGTATTTCTTTCCATTAGGATTTTATTATCCAAGACCATTACTTTTTATAAAGCAGTTATTGTTTTCTCTGATTATAAAATAATGCCAAGAAATGCTTGAAAAGGGAAAATAATTTTGTAGGGATTTGCCTATTAAATATGAAAATGGATCTGGTACAGAAATAGATTAATAAGGAATTTAACATTTTTTCATCAGTATAACTGAGAACTTAATTTTAAAAAGCAAATGCTTAAGCAGACAGTTCACCTCTGTATGAAAAAGAGATGGATGGAATAAATAAGTTTTGTAGTGACTGACTATGCATTTGGATATAATCAGAATTATATTCCCATTTCATAGCTTGCACGAAAAGAAATTACAAATGAAATAAAGTTCTAAAGCCAAACTGTACACATGCTCGGAGCAAATGTAAAAATAGTTTTTCATCCTTGAAGCAAAGAAGGATTAGGCAAGCTATAAAGCTGACAATTAAGAAAAATATCAGAAGTAAAACTTCTGATATAAAAAGGCAAAGTTTCCTTACTTTAAGACATACTATATGTAGAGAGAATTCTCAAATAATAGAAATATCTGTGAAGTGATATTAACTTTACTAATGATCAAATTCATAAAATACTTATAACAAATAAGTTGGAGAAAGTGACAAAATCCATGTTTCTCTCGGGATTAAAAATAATGTAGTAAAACCTTTTTTGCAGAATCAGAGAAATCAACATTTTAAATTATATCCATCATGATCAGAAGCTACAAAGGAATAGAGAAATAAGACCTATTGATCAAAGATTAATAGATTAATGTGTCAAATTTATAATGCATGCAATAGATAACAAGAGGAAAAAGTGAAAAGGCTAGTAATTATGCAGAAGAAGATACCACATAACAGAAGAATGTTACTCAGGAAGTTGTAAGGAATTCTTACAGAAGGTTAAAGAATCATACACACTAGTCAAAAATATACAAAGCCAATTCACAGAAGAGAAACTTCCTTTGACCATTAAATAGAAGGGACATTCCATCATCATTAGGAATGAAAGATGTTGCCATTTTCCACCCATGAATTAAACAGCAGAAATTTTAAAACTGCCTTATGAGTTAGGGTTTAGCACATATGATCAGATTCATACATTTCATAAATTTAGGCATTTTGGGATTATGTCTGGTAAAACTGGGACATGTTCACATATCTTAAAACCTTGAATTGCTGCTTCTCATGATACTTTCTGGGTTCTCTCTGGCATATGGGATCAGAGAAATGTGCTAGGAGGTTAAGCAGTAGAGTTCAGAGCCACAGAACCTGGTTCAAATTCTAATCTCACCATTTTATTAACTATAATCTTGGATAAATTATTTAATCTCTGTATTTCTGCTCCCTCTTGCATAATTGAGTGAATTATAACATAAAATAAGAGGATAGTGTCTGACTCACAGTAAGTATTGTATGTGTTACTGTTACAACTTTCAGCATTTTTGAAAAAACAAAATTAGGAAATACCTCTAATGTCCATGTTATAGGGAATGGATAAATAAAATGTGTCCTTGTCAGAATTAAACATTGTATACGCATTTAGAGGCTCTAGATCTGTTAATATGGACAGATCTCAAATGATGTTGAGAGAAAAAAGGCATGTAGAAACAGAAGGTGGCAGAATATTGAATTTATAATTTTAAGTTAAAGAATATTTTAATAAGATACTATAGAAGAAGCTAATGAATGTCAAATTCTATTTATATAACCCCAGATTCATTTGTGATCCTATGAATTCGAAATCTATAGCTCTAAGGCTGATCATTTCTATTTTTATAATTATGTTCTTCAAGAAAAAGAATTGATATGTAAATTATACCACTTTATGGAATAGTGAAAGAAGAGTATTATAAATGTGTGTATACTGACACAAAAGGACATACCACTGAAAATGAAAATACCAAAATAAAAAGCAGTATGAATAATATGTATATCTAAGCACACATACACTCATATGTGTCCTGATCTGTACCAAGGCTGTCAACTACATCAGTACTAGAAAAGTATGTGCTTAAAAAAAGTAGCATATCCACATAAATTTTTAGTCATGCAGTATTTAAGCTACTTAACATATAAGGTTTTTTTGTGTGATAGTCTATTTTATATTTTAGGTCATCTGTTCTCTTCATTAATCTGCGCGTAAGGAAGGCATTTTGGTTGTAGTGTCTACTAGCTCACTGTGATTAGCAGCACAGTGGGGTCAGGCTAGATTTGAGTTTATCTTGTCTTCACGGTTCATTGGACTATTGTGAAATTTTAATCTGAGTCTTGTTTTCTTTTGTGAAAAATGAAATGGAACAAGTTAACAGTTATAATCATCTAACTTTTCACTTAAGAGATTGACAAAGATAAGAAATTTTGATGATATGTCAGCGGCGATGTGGAAAAAGGTGTCTTGATATTTCTTCTAGGGATTGTATATTGATCTTTTTTTGAAAGGATAATTTGGCAGTGCCTTTCAGCAGCCACCGTGTGTATGATCTCGATCAGTAATTCCACTTGTAGGAATGTATCCTAGAGATAGACTGTGTTTCTGTGTGTGCACCAAAGCTTACGGTAATGCTCAGGTCAGCAAAAGAATGAAAACAGTTTGAACATTAATTCTTAGGAGATGAGTCAAAGTCAGAGTACCCATACGTTAAATGCTAGGCACCTATTTGAAAAAATGTGGTAAACTTTGTCTTCTTTCCAAACCTTTTCCTCATGCTAATATATTCACAAATACCTATGTATTTTACCTAAACAGCATGCTGCTTTGTACTTTATTTTTTCACTTAATGTATTAAATCATTTGTTCCATATTAGTATATAACTATGCTTGTTTTTTATATATACACATACACACATACATACATACACACATATGCATAGTATTAGCTGCCTAGAATGTCATCATGTGGGCGGACCAAAGTGCACTTACCCCATTCTTACTAATAAAAATTTCTGTTTTTTTCCAGTTGTTTGTTTGTTTATTATATATCCAAACACTGCAGTAAATTTCCTTGGATGCTTTCGGCATGTATGAATGTGTATTTTTGAGAAAGCTTAATGGAACTGTGTTGGTTTAAAAGTATGTGGAGTTTTGTTTTTAGTAGCTATTACCAAATGGTTTTCTGTAGAGGTTTGCACTAGTATGAGTGAAAAAAGCAAAGCATGGTATAGAATGGACAGATGGAATTTGAACACACATTGGTGTGCACAGAATATTATGCAGTTATATGTATATTAATGTAAATGTATAGAGTAGTGCTTGTTTCTGGGGAGGAGTGAGAACTAGTGGAATGGGAATTTAGTATATACCTCTTTATACTTTTCTAAATTTTCTACCACTGTCTATCACTTTTCCAATTCAAAAACTCATCAAAATAAAAATTGAGAAAA